TGGTGGGTGGACTGACTCTTCTTGGAGGCAATGAGTAAGTTTTGAAAGAGTTGACAAGTCAGAGAAAGAAGTGGGTGGAAGGGTAGGGGCATGGAGGGGAGAAGGCATTTCAGGCAGAAGGAAGTCATGGGAGAGGTATAGTGATCTGAGAGGGCTTGGCAGCTTTGGGGAGCATTTCAGTGTGGATGGCCACTCAGTGGGATAAGGCTGAAAAGGGAGATTTAGGTGAGATCATGAATACTCTTCAGTGCCACACTGGTGGCCTTTATCCCAGCCATATTGGAAAGTCACTGGTGGGTTTTAGACAGAGAGCTGGCATTAAAGCGTCTGCATTTTAGGAAGTCAGCTCTGAGAGCAGAGATGGTAGATAAGCTGGAGTGGCCACTGGAACCCTAGGGGAGTCATATATGCACCAAAACAAGGCACGCTCATCAGGCACCCAGCATCTCTCTGAGTACAAGCTGGCTTTCCACACAAGTGATTCTCCCTGATGGGACATTCAGTTCCAACATACAGGTCATTCTGGCTCCAGGCACATATAGTATTCTGAGCAACTCTTATCCCCTCAATTTCTCAAAGACTTTCATTTCCCATACTCAAATCCTGTGTTCTCATGTGTGGAATAACTGCCGTGGATGGCCTGGGCCCTTGTATATGTATCAGCCTAATAAGCTTTCTCACTTCGGTGCCACTCACAGCCTACTTTTTACCTTCTCAAGTGGATGCCCCAGCTCAGGGAAGACTCTTGTGACTAGTGTTCTCCCATTTGTCAGAGGTGACCTTGAGTTTCTCCAGGCTAGTGGACTGCCATTTAAGGATTCTGTTTCTGCAGCTGGACATGGAGCCCAAGGCAGCCACAATCACGAGGAGCTCAAGGGAGGGGTTTACAAAAAGCTATGCAGGTCACAGAGTGAATTCCACATGATTCCTGTCCAAGTGCCAGGCTCCCTGAAATATGATCCACTAAGGGTGGCAGCTTCAGGGTGTGAGGTCAGCCCAGCAAACTCTGGAAGCCTAAGGGACATATAGACTGTGTCAGGAGGAATGATGTATCAGGCACTGGGACAATGGGCTTCCAATTCCATAACAGACCGTGGATTGTAGGAGATGGTCCTTCCAGCTGTGATAACCTAGGATGAAGGTTCAAACCTCTTTCCTTGGACCATTTTTATAGATGGAGTGCAGAGAGTGGAACAGAAGCTGGGAACATTCTATTGATGCTCAGTCTTTAAACAGAGGTGCTGAACACTCAGGCCTCCACGGCTCCCTGACGAAGCGACCAAAGCACAAATCCACACAACGGGCACTGGACAAATGCCCCCCCAAGGGGATGCCCACACTGTGGTAGCTATAGTTAAAGGGACTGCCTGTAGGTGGTGAATGTACACAGATTCCTCAGAAGCCATGGATCCCATGACTTGGTGATATACCAGAGCAAGGCCCTTCACTGTGTTGTCGCTTCTGTGATTGGAGAACAGAAGTGGGAAGAAGCCTCAGGGAAGCCAGTTCATCTTCAGTCTTCTCCAGACACGCTGGGAGGGCTGGGAAAAGCCTGGAAGTATGGTGAAAAAACACTATTTTTTCTGTTTTATGAAGGTTGACAGGAAGACTAAATGTTGAGGATACTTTCCACTTATGAATTCTCCATACTTTTTTTCTGGGGATTCCTTCAAGACTCCATGCTGTAGGGTTCCAGCTCAGAATGCAGCCACCACTGCCATCACCACTTACCAAGGACTACTGTGCACCAGGCACTGTACTAGGTACTTTGCAAGCTATATTTACTTCTCACAGCAGCCTTGCCAAAGAGTTATTAGGATGCCTATTTTGTAGATGAGGAGGTTGAGTAACTTAATCAAGGTCACATAGTTTGTAGCAGACCAGGGTTCTACCCCAGGTCTTCTTGAAACCAAAGCCCATGTTCTTTGCCCTCCATTACATCAGGGAGGGCCACAGTCTCTCAGGTCCCTGTGCACATAGGTAGGAAAAAATGGAGTTGGTTCTACCAGCCAGAGAGCCTGGAACCCTGGACTTGGTGGGTATCATTGGACTGGAATCCAACTTCACAGAATGTCTGAGCTGGAAGGCTCCTGAGAGACAAGTTAGTCCCTCTCATGTGACTGGTAAGGAAACTGATCCAGGAGGAGGCTGTGAATTTCTCAGAGCCTCACAACTCTTTAGAAGCACTGTGTGTGCATGCACACACGCATGCATGTGCACACATGTGCATATGCTGGAGAAGGCAGCCAAGGCAGCCAAACTCCTAGGCCCTGTGAGTGAGTTCAGGTGAGAAGGCCTTGGAGCCTTTGTCTATATCCAAAGAGGCGGCCCACAAAGAAGGCTATTTTAAAATTTTGTTTTGTTTTAACACAAATAGTTTATTTGGGAAAAGGTGACTCTAGGAAGTGTCAATAGAGGAGTTAGGAATGAGATACAGAAAAGAAGGAAGCCAACACAGGTTTATTAATGGTCAGGCCATGCTTTGGCCGACTGGTACTGAGGTGCACTGGGCACTTCGGGGAAATGGTGTGGAATGTGCCTCACAGTTGTTTTGCCCAAGGGAGGAGGAAGCAGGTGTATTTACCTATCAGCCTCATCAGAACCTCTTGCCAAGCACGCTCCAGCAATCAAAGAAAACAAAGGGCTATTTTTAAAGGTGTCTCTAGCCCTGAGTAGCCACCAGTTCTCTACAGAGTCTTAAAACCTTTGGGGGTGAAACGTTTTGGGGTTATGTCCTTGGGCATCAGTACCAAGGACAGTTGTAAAGGAGATGGGTGAGACTGAATGTTGCCCTCCAGGGGCCCTGAGGCAGGTTGTGCTCACAGATGGAGATGGGCATATACTTAGCAAGAGGAGTTAAAGTTAGAACTTTGAAAGAACCTCCTGATGATACTGGTTAAAAAAGATATCTAGAACTCATCCAACTATGTGGCTTCATTGGTGGCCACACAAGAAATGACAGAGTGACAAGCATAGGAATACACAGTAGCAAGGTGCTTTAGGGAGCTGCAGGCTACTGGTTCCAGGGCAGGCCAATGACCTCTCCTTTATCGGGGGTGGGAGGCAGGCGAATGCTGACAGAACAGATTGTCCTTCACCCTACTCTTGGTTATTCTAAAATCAGGAGATGCCAAAGTTAGGTGGAAGCAACGGGAAGAGGTCCTGTGTCCAGTGTGATTGGGGGCATCTGAAATGGAGGCAAAGCCTTGGAAGAAGCTGAGGTTGCCTAGCTCTCTGATTAGGGCCCCCCCACTTCCCTGGGCCCCTGCTTCTCTTCTGTAAAAGAGGGGATCGGAAGCTTGAACTAGATGACCTGAGGGTCCCTTTTAGTCCTGACCACTATCATTGTCCACTGCAGAGGCCATTCTCTGGCCCTTGGCTTTTCTTCAATTCTGTCATCTGCAAATATTTACACAGCACTCATACTTTGCCCAGCGCTAAGTGGGAGAAGGAATCAAATTGAATACAGGCCCTGACCTCTGGGAGAGAACAGATACAGGAAAAAGGAGTTAATTGTTGATTGAACACTTACTCTGCCAGGCACTGTGCTAAACACCTTATCTATACTGACTCCCTTACTCCCTCCACCATAACCCAGGAAAGTAGGTACTAGGACCTCCACTTTAAAAATGAGAAAACCAGGACTCGGAGAAAAAGCAACTCGACCAGAGCCACACTGTGGCAAAGCTTGGGTTGGAACCCACATCGTGAGCAATGATGTTTCTCCTCCTCTGTGAAATAAACAGTCACTCTCTTAGTGCAGCTCCTAGTACTCCAGCAGATAGAGCAGGGAAAGCTGGCATCACCTAGGAAGGCTTCCTGGAGGAGGTGGGATAGCACTGAGCCTTGAGGGAAGGGCAGAACTTGGAAGCTGACTGGGCAAGTGAACTAATGTCCCAGGGCATGCTGGGGTATGGTGTGACTGCAGCAGGTAACTTCTTTAAAAAAAAAAAAGATTTTATTTGTTTTATTTTTAGCGAGAGGGAAAGGGAAGGAGAAAGATAGGGAGAGAAACATCAGTGTGTGGTTGCTTCTCATGTATCCCCAACTAGGGATCTGGCCTATGACCCAGGCATGTGCCCTGACCGGGAGTCAAACCAGTGACCCCTTGGTTTGCAGGCCAGTGCTCAGTTCACTGAGCAGCACCAGCCATGGAAGCAGGTGTCTTCTTATGGTGGTCAGGTAGGCAGCAGCTACAGCTGAGCCTGCTGGTGGCTTCACAGGAGAAAAGGAGGGGCCAGGGAGGAACAGACATTCCCCATACCAGCAAGGTGAGAACCCTCTTCTTCACAGACACAGCCTAAAAGAGCTGGTGTCCACCAGCCCCAGGGGAGCTTTATGCCTGAGCCAGGCCTATAAGCATCACACCATTCCCCAGACTTGTCTGGGCAAAAATAGAGCTCGTTCAGTGTGGGTTACTTCCCTCAGGCTACCTAAGCCAATGGCCAGAGAGCTAGCCCACTGATAATTATGATAGTTAACACTTACATGCAGCAATTACCATGAACTAGGCACTGTTTTAAGAATTTTAACTAAGTCTTTCACCCTATGAGGTAGATACTACTATTATGTCCATTTTACAGATGGGGGAAGCTGGTACAGTAAGGATAATTTACTTACTGTAGCTGGTGCAGTAGGGACTCTGCTCAGAGTCCCACAGCTAATAGGCAGAGCTCACATTTTATCTAACCTAGGCAATGTACTCTTAACCACTCCACTCGGCTCTACTGCTTCTAAGCAGGGGTCAATGACCTCTGGTTGTAGCTCCTTCTTCTGTCTGCATGGTTACCCTCCTTAAGTTTAGATCCTCCTCCTTGACTGGGGCTATTCCCTACCAAGATAGCTCCTCCTTAGAGGGGGCTGCAGGAGACACCTCTACCAGCCCCCACCAGTAGGAAGACCCATGGCTGCCAGGGTGCCCAGTTTCTCCCCCACCCCCACACCCACACGCACCCTGTCCCCCTGTCCCCCAACCGAGCACCGTTGCCTTTTGTTCACAGTGACGGCTCCTGCGCCCAGGCCAGTGGGGGCATGGAGGACTCCGTGGTGGCAGCGGCAGCGGTGGCAGCCAGCAGACCCAGTGCCCATGCCCTGAAGGCTCAAGCCCGGGAGCTGCAGGAGGAGGAGGAGCGGCCAGGGACAGGGGGTGCCTCCCCCAGCGCTGGCCCCCACCTCGAGGCCTCACCTGGCCAGCAGCAGCCTGCCCTGGTGACAGCGCTGTGCTCCCACGCCCCTGCTGCCTCTGATTACGAACTCTCCCTTGACCTAAAGAATAAACAGGTACACAGGGCCTCCAAGGGGGGTGGGAAGGGTGGTGAAGGGGCCATACCTTTGGGAACTGTCTAGGGTACCACAGATCTTCCACACTGGTGAGGTGAAGCCACTGGGCCCACCTCTGCTGTAGCCACAGCTCCTTTGCCATCAGTCCTTTCAAACTGAGCTAAGTAATATGCCCTTTCCCACAGCCCAGGACCCAATGCAACCAGTCTCTCACGGAAGGGTCACACCCTTGCAAGTCAGGCCCTTTGGCACTTCGCCCAGGGCTGTGTTAGTCTCTCCAAGTGCAGGAAGCCTAAAAGCATTAGGCAAATGACCCATTGTTCTCTGGGGAAGTCCCACCCACACTTGCTATTTAGATGAGGTAGCCCAGCTTACATGCTCACTCAAGGGGCAAGTTCCATATATGGGCACACACAGGCTCAAATGAGGTTCAAAGAGCATGGTCTCCTGAGAGACTGAGGATTCCCAAGATTAAGCCAGATTGGAGGAATTCCAAAGCTCCCCTTTTGGAGAACAAGTCCTATTGAGGGGCTTTAGGCCTCATCTTCTAATCTGTGAAGCAGGAGAAGAAAATGATCAGTCATGGGGGTCCCCACCCAACTCCTCCCAATGATAATGCCACAGTTTTTCTTGTTGGACAATGAAGATACCTGAAGGAAGATCTGTAAGTGTGTGTGTATGCGCATGCTTAGAGAAAGTTATCATGACTTCGTGTTGTTAAGAAAGAGCATTGAACTTGGAGTCATAGCTAGGCCATCCAATTCTTGTTCTTGTTCTAGTTAATTCTAGAATTAACTAGACTTCAGGAATGCCAGTTAAGCACTCTGGGCATCAGTTTCTGGTCAGCAAAACTGGGAATCTGACCTTGAATCATCTCCGAAGTCCTTTTTGCTCTGAAATGGGTAGATTCTGAAGAACCAATCTTTAGCCCAGTCACAAGGTGAGTCTTTGGAGTGGAAGCCAGTAGAAAGGTCACTAAGACTGAGTCAAGCCAAACCAACTTAATTTCTTTCTTTAGGCATCTACGCCAAGCTATTATCCTAGGTCAGGGGCCAGCTGTAGTTCGGGGTATAAAGAAGTTGACAAAATCTCTTATGATATCTATGTAGGCATGATAGAAAGTAGATTAGATCATAGTATAGTCAGGTGGATTGTTCTCAAACAGAATTCTCAAAAACATTTATTTTTCCAGCAGTGCCAATTCCCGTGTGAGTGGGGCGCTATACTTGGTCTTGCACAGTTCAATCATTTGTAACAAGGTACCGCTTTCCAATGACACTGCTAATAGGGGACAGCTAATACCTTGATGGTAGAATCCAAGATTTTAAAAATATCTCATCAGGATAGAAAAATGGTTTAAATGAAATAAACCAGATGAAATAGGGAAAAAGCTAAAGTTCTGCTCCTTGCTTTGAAAAGCCCATGGCACTAGTATAGGATGAGCAGGCTCAGTCCTGAGAGAAGGGCCTTAGGACCTGTCCGTTCACTGTAAGCTTAAGGTGAATCAACAGCTGGGGAAGCAGGAGCACGGCAGCTATCACAGAGGGGTGGGCAAGGCCCCAGAAAAAGGAGCAGCCAGCCAGAGCTCCACACTGGTCAGGGCCTGTCTGGAGTCTGTATTTGGTTCTGGGGACTTCACTTAAGGGGGAATATGAGAATCCTGAGGTTCTCATAAGAAGGAGAATAGGATTGGATGGGGTCATATGGAGAAACTGTAGACATGAAAACTAGCTTTAAATATGGAAGTGCTGGCATGTGATAAAGGCATTAGGTGTATTTTCTATCATTCCAGGCAAAATAGTGCTACTACTGTATAGAAGCTATAGGAAAGGAAGCTTTTAGTTTATTAACAGTTAGAGCTGTTACACATAAAGCATGTCTAACTTGGGAGGTAGTAAGTTCTGTGCTCCTGGAAATGCTCATGCAAGGACAGTTGGCCAGGAAGAGAGAGTCCTCTCAATTCCCCATGACTTTGCTCCTTGGGGACAGAGAGTACCTCTTATTTATCTTTTGTTCACCTCCCCCCAGCATCTAGCAGAGTGTCTTGGACATAGTAAGAGCTCACTGAGTATTTTTGAATAACTGTAATATGCAAAGTCACAGGGGAGTAGAGTATGAAAAGAAAAGAAGCATGGTCCTTACCTGCATCTCAAAGAGATTACAGTTCAATTTAAGGACTATCTAGTTAGTAACAGCCAAGATGACACAGACTTTGGCTTGGGCAGGAGAACGACTTTAGTTCTGATGACTAGGTGGGATATGGAGAGCTGTCCGGCTGCCAATTAGTACCATGGACCTTTTATATAGTGGATATGTTTCTAATAGATGGGTTTGCATGTAAGGCCAGGAGGAGTGGGACAGGAGAAATGAGAGTTAGTAGAGGTGATGGGGTCCTCACACTAGGTGGACCTAATCCTGGAAAGGAGCTCACTTCCTGGCTCAAGTACTTCTCTGGGCCAAGCCTACACTGGGGGTAGGGGAAGGGGCAAATGGGATTGAGGGGCTGGATAGAACACAGTGATTGAAAACATGACACACATTTACTAGAGACTGAGCTCTGTTCTTCTCTCTTCTGCAAATGGACTGTGTGACATTGGGCAAGTTGCTTAACTTCTCTGGGCCTCATTGCCTCATACTTCTTTGAGGTTTTGTACCTGCCATTACCATTGACTCCACTGCTGATATTCCTACTCCCTCCACACTCCTGCACTTGGCCTCCATCACTCTTTCTCTTGCTTTGGGACTCACTTTCAGCACTCCTTCCTCCCCCAGGCAGCCTTTCCTGACCTCCCAACACTGCTCTGGATGTCCCTTCTCAATGATTCATTTGTCCAGATCTTCCCTGTCATAGCTGTTTAGCTCTATATCATTATTTCCTGTTTACTTGACTCCCTCTTGGAGGCAGGGCCCATGACTTATATTCCCAGTGCTGGATACAGTGCCTGGCATGAAGAAGATGCTGGAAAGAGGAAAAGGAAAAAATAATAACTCAGTGATCTGAAGAAGGATAGGGATGAGCATGAAGCTTTCAACTAGGACTTGACTCTACTCTAGTTTTCTTTGAGATGTAGGATTTAGTATTCTGATCCTGCAATCTCTTCCAGTCACACAAATCCTGTAGCCCCTTGGGCTGGAGGGAATCTTGGACCATCATCATTTCCCCAGTCCACCAACCTGCCAGTCCTCTCCATCAGCCAGTCATTCTCTGCAGTTCCTCTCTCTCTCCTACATCTGCTCCATCCCCGTACCCCACTGATGCTACCTCTTAACTATTTCCAAATCCTGCTCTCTCCTGCCCCCTACCCCCACTCTAGGCCAGCCCACCATCATCTCTGGCCTATACCCCTGGGAAAATCCTCACAGATCTCCCTGCTTCAGGCTGTGCCTCTTCCAACCTAATCTCCACACAGCAGCTGGGTCTCCCTTGTAAAGAGCACATCTGATTAAAACACTCCTCTGCCATGAAAGCCTTCCATGACTCCTCAGATGTGTATGACAAACACTTCTCCGGGCTCTTCTATCGCTCATGTCCTGGCCCACTTGGGGTTCCTGCCTTTCCTATTTACCTTTCCCCAAATCTCCATGCCATCCTTTGCCTCTGGGCCTTCGCATATTTTATTTTCTTTACTGGGAATACTCCCCACCTGTCCCCCAGTCACCTTTGCGTGAGTGATCTCTCCTCATACTTCAGGCGTCAGCCCAGCTGTCCTTGAGTCTGGCTGTGTGCTTTGACTGAGTGCCTACTGCTGGCTCTGTGCTATCCAGTTGCTGTCCCACTCTGGGGGCAAGGACTCAGGGCTGTCACAAAGTTGAGCAGATTGTACATGGAACACCTCCAGGGGTGCTACTTGCTTCATAGTCTGTGTGAGGGGCCAACACTCTGGGCACTAGGTGCTGCCCTGCCCTTGTCAACCATTGTTTTACTGTACCCAGCACAGTCCCTGGTACCTAGGAAATGCTCATGACTGGAGGAATACATGAATGAATGAATGCATGAATGAATGAATGAATGAATGAAGCCCACCCCAGGATTCCCCACTTCCCCTGCCCCAGGTCTCCTCCCCCATAGCTGAAGAGCAAGCAGGTCCTACTGCACAGCTTCTCTCGTCCTCTGCTCCCTCGCTCACTTCGCCTCACTGTAATCCTTAGGGCTGCAACCTTGGGGGATATGCAGATCCATCTGGGGGGCCCTTTAGGAAAGTGGCTGTGACAAGGATATGGAGGGCATAGAAGTGACCTCCAAATGCATTCAGGCTCTCTGGAAAGATGCATCCTGACCCCTGCCAGTGTGGAGGAACAGCCCACTGGAGCCCATCTCAGATGCCCTTATTATATCCACAGCTCTCTGTGCCATCCAACAGGGGGCCATGGAGCCATTGTCAGTAGTGTCCAGGTCTGCTCCCCAAGTTAGGGTCCTGGGCAGAAGCCATGTTCTCCTGGACAGCAGCCCCTTCTCTAGTAGATCCCCCATACCCAAACCTCAAGGGATAGCCTCACCATGGGGCACCTCTCAAGAGCAGAAGTGGTAGCTATATTTCCAATTCTCTGGGCCTCAGTTTCCATATTTGTAAAACAAGGGATTGTATTGGATGTCTAAGGACATGTCTAAGGACCTTCTCGCTCTGAAGCTGAGAGCTCTCCTGTGGGCCTGGGGACCCAGGGATCCCCTCTGCTCAGTGGAACGGTTTTGCACAGCTGCTCTGTCTGGGGCCTGTGAGAGATCTGGGGACACAATAGTGCAAAAGACACAATCCCAGTGCTCAGGGATCCCACATTCCCACCATGGGTACTGACATGTAACCAGTAATAACTGGCATGAAGGGAATTATGTGTTGGGCACAGTACTGCGTGTTTTCCACACATTATTTCCTCAGGTCTGTACCATTTCCCAGTGAGCTAGGTACTATTACTCTCCCCACTTAAGAATGAGAAGACTACGGCTTAGTGATATAAAGTAACTTATCAGAGGATACATCCCAGGTATGGGGCACCTGAGCCCC